ATTTGACTATCCTGTAGTTTTCTGGCTAAGACCCTTTAATACATGCAAGGAGTTGCATACCTTGCAGCCCAATATTGAAAAACAATGATGTTTTATGGAAATATTTTCAAAATTGACAGCTTCAGGAAAAAAATAGGCAATAAATTTCATGTGTACGCGAAAACTCTGTACTAAAGAAGTGGAAAAAATCCTGGATTTAATAGTTCAGACACATGGAGTGACTTAACTTACAGATTTTATTGGCTGTGATTCTGTCCACAAAACCATGGCATGAGTTGGTTGGTAAAAGAGATCGGGGAAAATTTTTTATATGCATTTTTAAATGGATTTTTATCCTTCTTTTTTATATAATTTAAATCCTCTTTATAGCAAGCTCCCATTCCTCTAAACTCTGACTAAGTCACATCTGAAAATCATTGAACTGGTTATTTTTGAGAAGTTCCTTAGATAATGGTCTAATCCAATCTATTACCCTCTAGTACAACCTATGTGTTTTGACAAGCTAATTATTATCCTGAAATTCCACTTTAGAGCAGTGCATCTCCTCTAATTACCACAGAAGAAACTCACTTACAAAGCTCCTGTGAAGGTAACCAGAGCTGAACTTGAAGCATTCCTCTATGCTTCATGTAAGGGTAGGACACACACTGAGGCTACTCAGTGGAAGCATGCCTAAAGCAATTGAAAGACAGAACTGCCCCCAAAGAACTATTACTTCTCTCACTTTTACACACTCTAAGTCAAAAGTATCCTTACTTTTTCCCTTGTTTTGGAAGAATTTCCAGAAAAAAGTCCCAAGTTACTTCGCACCATCAAATTTCATACTCACAGATTCCTATTGTTTTATACAGGATTTGCTCTAGGGTTTTATTTAGAGTATATTGCTTTGGCTATTCTTCTCTCACTTTTTGTCCCAGTTCACTGACATGCCGAGATTTGTTGTTGGTTAGATGAGGGAATACGGTTGGCACAGTTTCTCCCAGCAGGGTCATGCATTTTCTAGTCTTTGACCTTGTTCATTAATTCTCTTCCATGGTGTAATACATAAAATTCTCTCCATTCCTTGTTGTAATAGAGTCTATATGCATTTTCATAATACTGCCTTCAGGCAGTATATCAGTGAAATATAAAGTGATGGCAAGACTTGGATGATATACGTATATATTACAATGATGCAACCAAAAGATAAATTGGCAATGCGATGGTATTTTCACATTAGCCATTTTCTCAGAACATTGGCTGAGCAATGGTTATAGCAGAATGTGTTCAGAGAAGGATAACAAAGAGGGGAGAAACATAAAGAAATTCCTTCATACTGCAGGTATGAAAAAATCAGGTTTGTTTACTATAGACAGAGGCACCATTCTCCCTCCATTTCTAGGAAGTAATGTCATAAGACTGAAATAAAAACCTTAAAATTTACTGAGGTGATGACAGGAGAGAGAGGCATTGGTTTTATTTAGAGTACACTTAAGTCCTATATACAAAGATTTTTCCACAACTGGGATGTGCAAAACTGAAGTTTTTCACATGATCCTGTAACATGAAAGTTAAAAATAAGGAAGGAAATATCACAAGTATAATTTTAAAAATCGTGAAGGATAGGAACATTAGAGTAGTAAATGTATCTCTACAAGAAGAGAAGGGAGAAAATAGGCAAATGAGATTCCACTTAACCTTTCTTGTAATACATGAAGCAGGCTTAGAAGTGAAAGGTTATTCAAAATGCACAAATAAAATTCCTTTCACAAGGAATATCTTTAACTCGCAGGAACTCACAACCATTTCAAATAATGGTATGCAAGGGATTGATTAACTTCACAAAAGAATTAGCCATTCATAGAGAAAAAAGAATATCTAAAGGCACAGTGTATTTTAAAGTAAATATAGATTTATTCAGTTAGTTAAAGAGACAGATGGTTATCCATGTTTCAGGGCAGCCTCTCAGTATTAAGACTTGGAATAAAACTTGGCCTACAAGCAAGTCTATACATGGTAAATGCTGAAAAAAAAGTATTTTAGTGTTCAGATATATGGCTTTAGCACACTGACAAGTGTATCTGCATTTATTCATTCTCTATGATATGAAAGGAGCAGATGCCCTGAGTAGCATGATCACTAATAGAAAGTAGGAATAGATTTGGGTCATGAATTGTTGAAAAGATAAAGTCCTGAGTAAGCAATTCTGTATCCATACAATATGGAGGTATCGTTGGCTTCAAACAAAGAGTATAAACATGGTTTATTAGTCAGGCTAATTAGCTGTGCAGAAAAATGTCCAGGCTAATTAACTTTGTCAGAGTGCAATTTGAATATGACTATACTGCTCTGGGAGCCTACTTACTGTCTCTGTGCTAAGTAATGTAAGATTCGCTTAATATGTATGGTTCATTGTTAGCCTTTCCTACTATCTGGTTGCTAAGAGCTTGTATTTTCAGTGAATTTGTTTCACTGCTGTAAGTGTATGTACTGTGGTATGCAGTGTCCAGAGGCTCCTGTTACAGATGACAGGCTGGTTCAATCTACACCAGGACCCTTTAAGTGAGGTTGGACTAAGCAGACCAATTTTGAAAGATCCATGAAAGACAATGACTAAAACCAGTTTGATGTCTACTTACGGCTACAGAAATCTAAAAAATTCATAAAGGGGTCTGAATCTTCATTAGCAATCTTTTAGGAAGCCAGTTATTTCTGAAAAAAGTTTAATTGTTCTGCCTGGATTTCAGATCTTCCCACTTGGAAGCTGAACTTCTTTTAAACTTTCAGCACTCCTTCATTCTTAGAATATATTGCTGTAGTTATAGGCCAGTGGCAGAGGTAATTCTTCAGAACAACCATTACACTAACATAGTGCAATTTAAGATGTGAATATTCTTTTTCTTCCTCTAGTTAATATGTGGTTGTAGATAATGGGTAGTTTTGTCACTGCCAGACAAGTGGCTTCCCCTCTAGAAGATCTCTCTGTGCTCTCAGAAATTGATTCTTTGAATTACTTTCTTCTTGTGGGGTGAACCTTAGTAAAACTGAAACTTCAAACGCTAGCAAGGAGAAATGGTATTTTATTAGGCACTTACGTTGCAGTGATTTAGTAAAACAGAATCAAGTGTATTTTTCGCTGAAGTGCAGATGGTTGGCAACTTGATATTAAGAAAGGTTAAAGATGAATCATAAATATTAAACAGATCTTACAGTTACCCACAAACTACTATGAAGACAGTAACAGACTGGTAGGTAAGAGCTGGAAAAAACCTATATAGGCGTGCAGGTCAACCTTCTGTCAGTACAAAGGCTGACGAGGCAAAATTTCAAGGAAAGATAATTGTTTACCTATCCTTTTTGACAATAACAGAAGTATTACATTCATTTGTTAGGTCTCTGTCTAGACTAATTTATGTCTCAGTGGAGTGACCTGGTTTTGAGACAAGTTCTACTGAGGCTACCACCAATGGCGTGCTGTAAAATGTTAAGACAAAGGATATAATTGCTTGGAAGTGAGAAAATCTGAATCTTTCCAGGATTACTTTTTCCAAGGAAACAAAAGAAAGAGCGGCACTATGTCCTTCCTAATAAGCTGCACAGTGTAGTCATATGAAAGCCACTACTTTGAGGTGGCACAGGCATGCTTATTGTTCAGAATTGCCAGGGATTCCAGATATCCTTGGATATAAGGATATATATCCAGTTATCCTTGATTTATAAGCAGGAACTTCTCAGCCTTGGAGATCCTTTGCTACTGGAATCCATAATAAAAACATTGTTCCCAGGAAACAGCTCAAAATATTTCTTTGTGATCTCTTTGGCAGACATGCAATAGTTTCTGGTACATTTCCATATAAATACAGGAGCCAGTGGGCTGGTAACTAGAAAAAATATTATTATTTTCAAAATGTTCTGAGTCACAAATTAAATCTAGCCATTTTAATGACATTTTAATTGAGCAATCTCCAAGAAAATGTACTGGGAAATGGAGAACAGGAGTTGGAGCAAGACGATAAGTCTTTCTTGGAAAGCAGAAATTCATAGAAGAGCTTAGACACCCCAACATGATCACTTTATATATTTCTATGGCAAGAACGACTAATGAAAACTTTTAGTTTAAATAAAGGGGGAAGATGAAGTAGAACTTAGAAAGGCAAAATCGTCCGATCAAACCCAATCATCTAGAAGTCAGGGATCAAGCCCAAGCTGTCATCTTGATTGATAATAAGTAGAGACAGGTAGGCACTTCTAGAGGGCCTAACACAGCATAAAAAAATTGAGTATAATGACTCAATGGAAGCTGTCAGGGACTGAAGAGGGAACTGGGACAATTATTGTACACAGGGATTCATTCACGAAGCTCACCTGTTCTCCATTACCGTCTCTGTCCTGTGATGGAGCTGCCAAATATACAGACTTTATGCAGATGTCCAAGCACTATGTGAGATGTATCAGAATCATCGGTTTTGGAGTTGCCAGAGGAAGCAGGTCTGTCTGTCACTGGACATTAGATTTCTAATTCAGCATAAATGTAGAGACATAAAATATGACTAAGGCTGCATCCAAATAGGATTTTGTAGTATATCAAAAGTACATGATATTGCAACTTCACTCTTGGGTGAATTATAGTGGTCTTGATAGAGCTCAAGCTAGATCACCTGGATGTTCTTTGTATGCTTCAATTCTGGCTAAAAATTCAAGGCAGAATGGCTCCGTTCTTAGAGGTGCTAGAAACATTTTCCGGAATTAAACTTTGCTCATTTTGTAGTCTGGGAGGTCTATTTGGTGCGTTAGTGGAAGGATAGACATAGAAAACTTTAGGCTGCAATCTTTTAGAATTTTTAGCCATTGCCATAAATGTTAACGGTAAACACGTCAACAGGTTGGACAGGGAATATGCACTGCTGGGTTTGTCTCTTTGACACATTAGGGAATACAGAGCAAGAAATTAAAAATGAAAGCCAGAACCATTTAGCAGAAGATTCATTCTTTTAGGATCAATAAGTAACTCCATTTTAAATGTCTTGCTCTCAATAGAATTCATTTTACGATATACTATCTCAATAAATACTGTTGGCGATATGACTACGCAGCTTTTAGGGATTCTTACTCTTAACTGAAATAACTTGATTTTTGATTCATGTATTGAATATTTTTATTGATTCCATGAGTTACATTACACATTTCACATTATAATAAGAGATGAAAATACTGTCTCCACTCTAGGCCACGGGAGAAATGACCAAGTATTGTCTCTTATTTGGTGAAAAAACCTCATACAGTGTATGAAAAATGCAGTAATGAAATATTTAAAAGGTGTAAGATGATTAATAAAGAGAGATATTAAATGCCTTGTCAGAATGATGACATAATATCATTTACTAGTATGACCCCAAATAGTGGTGTCAACCACTACAAGCCACTAATCATTTAAAACAAAATTAGGAGAAGGGATAGAATAGCAAAAGGAAAAGGATCTGAATCAGTTTGTAACATAAACATTTATACTGAAAATCTCTTGACAATTTTCCTGGAGGTTTCAGCAAACAAGCTAGAATAAAATTTTGAAAAGTGGCTTTTTTCCTTTGAGTTTACTTTTATTTGGTCTCGCTGTAAAGCAGGTGAGAACATATAGACCACTTCAACGAGATTGACTGCAGTTACAGATGGAAAAAAAGGGTGATAATTAGTAAGCTTGCTGCATTTCGAAACGTGAGACAAATAAATTGAATTCTGCCTTTTGATGGTGTCAGTAATATGCCAGTAACACAACTATTTCCATAATAACAAACAAAGAGATAATGAAAATATGAACAAAAAGAGAGGGTGTATGTGTTGTAATTAAAATGTGTTATGTGGGTGTTGTGCAGAAAGAACACTTATGCATCATAAGTTCATGAGTAATATGACATCTTAAAGCACCAAAAACAAAAGTAAAAGAATCTAACCTACATGATAAGTGCAAGTTTGTAGAAACATTTACAGATTTGTTAGATGAGAATAGCCAGTAAACAACTTTAACTGTACAGGAAGAATATGAGCTTTTAATAGACATGTTCAGGCAGGGATAATGGGAAAGTTTTTCATTCAGGAGAAAGTGTGTATTATTGTTATTGTTTTATAAAGGTGACCACAGCAGGACCCTGTAAGACCATTCTGTGCATCAAAATCCCACTTTGAACCCTCTCAGAGAATTCCGCACCCAGACTGGAATACTTGCCTCCAACATAAGAAGGACATCAACTTGTTAGAATGAGTCCATAGGAAGGCCATATAGATGATCAGAGGACATGAGAATCTCTGTTGTGAATTTAAGCTGAGAGAATTGAGTTGATCAGCCTGGAAAAGGGAAGGCTCCAGGAAGACCATACAGCACTTTCCAGTACCCAAAGGAGGCCTACAAGGGAGTTTGAGAGGGAGTTTTTACAAGGGAATTAGTGATAGGACAAGGGAGAATGGCTTTAAACTGAAAAAAGGGAGATTTAGATTGCATATTAGGATGATGGTTATGATAATGATTATTCTTTTTATTAATATAATCATTATTTATTGTGAGGGTGGCGAGGCACTGGAACAGGTTGTCCAGACAAGTTGTGCATGCCCCATCTCTGTCAGTGTCCAAGTTCAGGTTGGATGGTGCACTGAACAACCTGATCTAGTGGAATATGTTCCTGCCTGTGGCAGGGCATTGGAACTAGAGGATCTTTAATGTCCCTTCCAACTCAAATCATTCTATGATTCCATGATAATTCATCCATGTCCCTGCTGGAATAAGTAACAAAGACATGCACAGTAATGGACTGTGTCAGTCAGATTTTGTAGATCCCAGTCAAAAATTATTCTATTGTAAATGGCCATGCTGAAGGTACAAAAATATCAAAGAAATTGTGTGTTACTGTATTACAATGGGAAACCTAACCTCACAAAGTATAAAAAGTGAGAGATTACATATCCTATTCCAGTAGGATTGATGCCATTTTCTTTGGCCTCTCTCTTGCCCCACTGCTATTTTAACATTTTTTTTCAGTCAGTTGGGCATTTACTTACAATGGGAAAGGTGTAATATTCTCAGTAAATAGAAAGAAAAAATGTAAATTGGGGACATACTGGAGCAAGACATAAGATGGAAGGGGGTGCATGTTGTGTATCTTTCACTTAAAGCTGCATAATTGCAGAATTGCCAAGAACAAGTAAGGCTCAGTGGCTGGAAGGGCAGTGAGAAATCCAGTGGGAAAACAGTTATTTGTTTCTTATTGGTCTGGTTATTTGCTAATTTAGCTAAATAGTACAAGACAAACCATATTTATATGGTACAAATTAGGGAAGATAAAATGGTAAAATGAAGATTTGTTTTTTATTTTCAAGCCAAAAGCAGGTAGGTTAGCCATATTCCAGGTACCAGTTGAAATACAATTTTACAGAAAATGGCATATCCATAATAGGATAGATGCTTTTTGCCTAAACCCCAGAATATTTTATTCTAGAGCTAATGAGAACTGAAGTGCTTGATTTGGTAAACGGCGTAGTATAACATTTTCAGAAAGGAATTTTTGATTTCATGTATCATCTTGTGCTCAAGTTGGCAATGATATTAGAGGAAATCAAAGCAGCTTAAATAAAACATTTAGTCTCTAATCATTGCACAAAACCATCCAAACAAATGAAGAAACCAATTAAAAAAAAAAAAGAAGCTATAATTCTCTGATTTTCCAGGTCCTATTTTGCTTTGGTCCAAACAACAGAAAAATTTGCTCTACCAGAAGATCCTTAGCTTCTCCCAAAAGAAATGAATATTCAGACTTCATGAAATCTTTCAAGAATGCTACAATTCCAACTGCAAAGCAGAAGTATGCATCCTGACCATATTTCCAGTCATTCTGGTGTTGCAGTTTCTGATCATAACAGCTTTACTGCCTGAAAATATAGAGAGTGGTGTTTTTATGTCCTATAAATCATAAGCTTCATCCCTGTTCTGTACTGGATGTTGGCAGAAAGGTGACATTGTGCAACAAACATTTTCGTGTAGAAGCTTAGGGCTTCTTAAGTACCCAGAGGTCCCTGCTGAAGAGTTATTGACATTATTTTGGATTTTTTGTTTGTTTGTTTTCTATGAATACCTGTTTTCTTAAAAGTCAGACGGTTCCTTTTTGTTCTAGTTCTCTAATTATAATTAGAGATTATAATTAAGTCTAGTCCATTATAGCCCGTTAGATGGTGTTAAAAAGCAATTAAGTTTCCTTCCTCAGTCCATGCCAACATACTTCCATACCCAATTACTTCCACAGAGCTTTAAAGATGAGATTTTCAAAAGCATCAACATTGGCAAAATGCTGTTTTCAGTAAGTCATGGTCATCCCATTGACTTCAAATCTACAAAATAGCAAATGTTCAAGTATCTTTAAAAGCTCAAAGCTGTCTAAATTATGGGAGAACACTGTAATACATTACAGCAATACTACTAAGCTAATTAGTTACTGCTTTTGGTGGCTTCATGTGTCAATATAATTCAATTGCTTAAGAGCCTCTTCCCCATTCTGGTTTTTGGGCAGTAATGGAGACATTTTTATTGTAGCTGACACTGGCAATTAGATTTCAGAGATTACTTTATGAACCTCATTTCTTTTTTTTTTATCTCCTCTGGATACACTACTTTTGAGAAACAGAAAACCAAATATTCGAACTTATGAGCCTTTCTATCAGGATGGAAAAGAAAGTAGAGACCATCACAGAACACGTGAAATTAGTCTACATTTTATAATTCACTAAACATCGGTTTGGAAGGAAAGTAATCAACTAAGACTTCAGTGGTCTTACTGCAAAATATAGAAATCGGATCCCAGATGCTTGTCTGAGTGGCAGGTGTGTTGTTCTACTGAACATCCTTTAGTGTCTTCCTCATTTTTGTTTTTGTTTCTAGGTTATATACTATTGTGAGGTGGTTTATCTCCCACAGTTTTAACTTTTAATATGTGACGTGTTCCTTTAACGAGGGAATTAAAGGACACCAAAGCTGTTTTTTTATATTATGGATATTATTCTTGTTAGTATTTTGAAAGCAAAAGAAAAATATTTTTGATAACTAACATTAGAGACTGGACGTAGGTCTGATGCCCGTAGGATCCAGTATTTAAGAGACAAGATGACCCTTGTGGTTCTATAACATTTCTAAGAAAGGCTGCACAAGGGAGGACAGATTATTATTCTGGCTCCTGGGAAGAAACTCAGAGCCCTCACTCAGCCCCTTATTGCTATTAAGCTTTCCAGACAGGTACCTCCTCATAGATCTAAAAAATACTGAAAAGTCAACCAATTTTTAGTCCTTGCAGAGTAGCAAGGAATAAGCTCTTCAAAGGGCTGAAAAGTATTAACCACATATGTTAGGTAAGAGAAGAGACATGTCTCTTTGCTTTGGCTCCATGGCTGATAATCTTGTTCATTCCAACAGCTCATATCCAAGTCTTGGAATCCTCATTTACCACTCCTTGTAGGCTGGTGTATCAATGCAAAACTGAAAATTGTGGCAGGCTATGCTAATTTGCTAAGCAGTGAAATGCAGAGACCGACAAACCAACAGAGGAACAATGGCAGCACCCTGGCCCTTGTGGGATGTCCCATGGCAGCTTGGGAGGCTGCTGGCACAGCCCTGAGGTGGGCATGGCCCCCCTGCCCAAGCCCCAGGGAAGCAGCTGAGCCCTCAACTGTGAGGGACCTGGATGGCATATAACCTTTGCTTATATGTGATTTACAAAGCTGGAAGAACAATCTTGTTAAAAGGAAAACAAGGAAATAAAGACAAAATAGCTAGTCAATTTTAGGTACAAGGTGTTAGGCATTGTGCCAACTCCTTTCCATCTGTATTCGGCATCTGTTGACTTTTGCTCATTTTGTTGTGTTTTCAGCACTTTTCATTGATTACAGATTTAGGTGTTGTGATTTCTACCAAGTATGATACCAGAAAATTGTCAAAATATTTGCAGCCAAATGCAAACCCATTCAAAATTTCACAGCCTTTAAACTCCAGAGCTTACAGGCAGAAAAGAAAATGAAATATTGCTTAGATTAATAATTTTCTTCAGAAAAAAAAAATGGTGTGTATTTCAATGCAATATGATGACTTTTAGATTAAAATTTTTACTGGGATTAGAATTCTCAAAACCAAACTTGTAAAAATGCATTGTTTCAGATTTTCCAAGGTTTATCAATGAATTATTTTTTTTTTTCCAGCCTGGAAGGAAGATAAATTGTGGTTTTGTCAACAGGGGAAACTAAGTGAGTTCAGAAACACTTCTTCACCAGTAAAGACAGACAGGACAAAAATAAATTGACATGGTACCTAGATTGCAGTGAATATTAGAGCACTTTGGTGATAAAGCAAAGGAAAAGAGAAAGGGAAGACAGTAATAGACTATTCTGGATAGCCCTTTGCTCTAATGTTAACACCAGGGAGAAATAAAAGATTTTAGATGAAGATCACACACACACAGACAAAGGAATTACATCTTTTTTTTTCCCCATTGAATTTTTTTGGTGAATATGCTGTTGAAGGAGACGAACTCTCAGCTTTCTGGGGTTTGTTTATTTGAGTAATTATATAAATACAGTAAAAGACAATGCAGAAGAAGCAGGTTGTTAGGTCATTAGAGTGTGGACACAGAAATGAAGGATCCAGTACACTTAATAAGAAAGCTCTACAGAGAAAGTCCAGCGTGACTTTTTTAAGGTTTTATTTCTTTCTTCTTAAGCTTTTAATGTTTTGTTGCTATTGTTTCCTGTCTATAAGGCTGAGCAAGGGCCTCAGTGAGATTTGAAGTCTCTGTAGATTTTCCTGCTGGCTCCTAAACTAAGTACAATATTCCCAGGCTTATCCGGCTCTGCTTTAAAAACCATTTGTAATCTACACAAGAGCAGTAAAGAAGAAACATATACCATATTATTGCTGGGATAATTGCTGCCTGGCTAATCTCAAGTTACACTGCTTCTTGGCTTTTTTTTCTTATTAGCAGTGAATGTTTATAATTTCAAGAGATTGTATAAGTCCTTCTTGCCTCATCTAGCCCCTTCGCAGAAAGAACAGTTGCCCTTGACTTTAAAGCATGATATATTCCACTTCATCTACAATATATCCAAATCCACTCTAAGCAGTCTTTCCATTTCTTGGTGAGGTGCCAGTAATTCTGAACAGTCAGATCCTGCCAGCTATTACTATTGTCAGTAGCCAACTGTCAGCAGAACAGACATGGTGTAAAGCTTTGAAGTAGTTGATCAACTATGCTCAAGTGACTGCTGCTCCCTATATGGATGTAGCCTGGATTTGCTGTACCCACTTTTTATTTCAGTACAAAGTCAAAGAAAGAGATCTGAGAAATGTGTATATTCATCTCCAAAAGCTGAAAAGAAGGTCTACATTCTGTTGCTTACATATGTGGCCAACCTCTTCCAGCACACCAGGAGCTCATGTTTCCTCTTTCCTGAGAAGGGCAGACACTGTGTTGCTTATTTCCCCACCTTTTTAAAATCATAGAATCAGCAGAGCTGGAAAGGACCTCCGAGATCATCAAGTCCAACCCTTGATCCACTAACACCATGGTTACTAGACCGTGGCACCCTTTCTGGTAAATCTGCATCCTTTCTTTCAGGTGAGTCCCTTACCACTACTTTGGGAGCTTCTGTTTCTTACTTTCTAGATCAATTAATATTTAAATATTTTAGAACTGCCAAAGCTCCAATTGGAGAGGTGCCTGTTGCAAGCAACACCATAGGTGCTGGTTGATACACGATCCCCAAAGACAGGACACTACAGGACTTATTTCAGGCCAAGCTTCCATCTTAGAAAGTGGTGTGTGTGTCCCCCATTCCTACCTTGTATCTTAAATATTCAATACATAAAGCAATTTTTTGCTGGATGTAACTGCCAGTCGTGGGATGTGAATGTTAAAATCTCATGGGGAATAGGAACCAAATATAGTGATTCAACTTCCCACATGATTGCTCTAACCACAGTACTATAAGAACAAATCTCCCCACCCTTCCCTTCCCCTTCCCTTTCCCTCTTTCTCCTCCTCTTTGCTTCTACTAGGGCTCAAACATTAGAGTGTTCACCCAGAATTGTCATATTCTTTTTTTTATAATGAAAAAGTGAGAAAGGAGTGTAATCAAATCCATTGTCATTCAGACATAATTGATATTTTTGGCTTGGCAGCTGTCCTCATTAGCTGCAAGCATGCCTGTATTACAAGATGCTGCACTAATAATCCTGACAGATTTCTCATTTCCTTAATTGCATTTAAATGTTCCCTACTGCACTAATAACTCAATAGTGGGGAGCTTAGATATAGTTCAGGAAGTGTGATAAGTATTTACAAATTTTCATGTCTCAGACTGTCCTTCCATCTATATGGAGAAGTTCAGAAAAGTATCTTTTCTACTGGAAAATATTTGGAGAAGGATTGCCTTTAAAATCATAATTTTTGAGTGTTTAGGTGCCTTGCTGTTTTGAAAACAGACAGTAAACAGCAAAGAAAATGCATTCCTGAGAGGAAACATGTCTATGAGTACACTGACTTCTAATCTTTCTCCTTTCTCCTTTTTTCTCTTATACATAAAAAATTCTAAATTTTAAATGCACTAACCAGGTTCTCCATTTTTCTTTTACCTCCTCTGAGGACTAAAGGCTTGTCTATTTTTGCCAGCCTCCTCTAGTGGCAGTATTAATTCAGAGTCCTTTGACAGGATATTCTGAAGATGTGGATGTCAGGGAAAGCTGAAGCATCACCATAGATTTATGCAAAAATATCTATTGTAATATAAATCCCTATGCCACAGCAATTTGAGCCTCTCATTTAGTCACTTATACAAGATGTACTATAATCATGGTGAAGGCATAACTTATTGTTGCATTGATAGATTCCGTACAATCAGTGCATTGTAAAATATGATGAAAATCAAGTTTTATTCTGGCAATTCAGCATTACATGAGAATAGAGACACTGCTCCCTTAAATCCTCCACAGTTCTCAGTCCTTTTTTTTTCGACTGGCTGAATCTGCTTTTCCCAGATATTTTGAGATGCAGACAAGTACCATCGACAGTCTTTTTCAGGAGATGTTCTCCATCTGACTAACAGAGCATCAGCTGGCTCCCTAACTCTTGCCGAGGAATTTCCCCGACAGATCTAAGTAAGTCACACAAAAACTCCAGCCCATCATAAAACTATTCATTTTTCCCTTCTGAACAGGGACTACAGGCCACAGATGCCAAGCTAGGGAAGGTCTTCTCTGAGAAGCTGCACATCCCTCTTAGGCAAAGTCCTTATGCTTCTGTCCTGGCATCACAGCAGCCACTGCTGGGTCACACTCAGCTGCCAATTGGTCTCACTCAGCCTTCCATCTGAGACTTCCCATCCATTTTCTTTGTATCTCTAAGATAGAAGACCAAGACATTTCCTGTAACCTCTCACCCTGAAACAAGCTTTTTGTGCCAATGAAAAAAGATGCATTTTCATAAAATTCCTGTCCTTATTTCAGGGAAAGAATTTGGTTTTGTAGGATCTGTCCTTTGGCTCCAGGAAGACAGACAGCAGCCTTCTTACTGTTTTTAATAAACTTAGGACATTTTGTGATGCTAAGTAACTCTTTCATACTGACAAGTTTTTGGAAAGGTTTCAGGACAGTAGTACATAGCCCTTTCAGTGAACATGCAGGTGTGATATGACAAATAGAATCTCCTTGAAACATGGACATGTATTGAGGGATGTTACCTTTGCAAAACAAACCAGACTTTCCCATAAAATTTAACAGAGTTTTAAACTAGTTTTTAAGGATAAAGGGACCAAACCAGGCTTTCCAGTGAAAGGCAGTAGGATGGTGCACGAAAACTGGAGGAAGTGAATGCTAGTGGGATCCCTCAATCTGGTCCATGAGGTGTTGGCTACAATGAACCACATCTGAAATGTTTCTATACCAATGCATGCAGTGAATGGAGTGCCTGTGACTGGAGTGCCATGTTGGATGGTTAGAGGCTCTTCAGGAGGAATAGGCAGGGCAGGTGAGGCCGGGGAGTGGCTTTTTACGTAACGGAAGGACTGGAGCTTAGAGTTGGCAATGTCACAGTTGAGAGCCTCTGGGCAGATGTCATCATGGGAGTCTACTATGGACTGCCTAGCTAGGACGATGACACCGATGACTTATTCTAAGGAACTAAGAGATACCTCTTAATCATCTGCCCTTGTCCTCATGGGTAACTACAACTTGCTAGAAATTAACTGGGTGCATCACACAGCTGGCACAAACAGATCCAGAAAATACCTAAAACACCTCAATGACAACTTCATGGTATATGTACTACGAGAGCCAACGAGAAAAGAAGCCCTCCTTGATTTGTTGCTTGCTAACAGACAGGGTCTCATGAGTGAAATGGAGATTGGTGGTCTTCTTGGCCACAGCGACCATAAAGCAATCAAGTTTAAAATCTGTTGATGGGAGGAAAAGTGCCAGCAAAATTTCAACCCTGGACATGAGGACAGTAGACTTCAGGCTGCACAGGCAACTAGTAGGTAAAGTCCGCTTGGAAAATGCTTTTCAAGGTGCTGGGATCCATTAGTGGTGGTCACTTTTTAAGTATTGCTTTCTAAGGGCCCATGAACAGGCAATCCCTAAATGCTGGAAGTGAAGCAGATGAGGCAGGAGGCCAGGCTGACTGAGCAGGAATCTTGGAGATAAGGCAAAAATAGAAGATGTATGTCCAGTGGAAGCATGGTCAGGTGATGTGAGAGGAGTACAGAGATGCTACTCACCACTGTAGGAAGAAAATTCATGTGGCCAAAGCTCATTTGAAGCTGGCAAGAACTGTGGGGGATAATAAAAAGAGGAGGTTTAAAATGCATTAATGGTAAAAGGCAGTGCCGAAATTACAGGATAAGGATGGTCACCTCACAAACAGGGACAGAGACAAGGCAGAGATATTTAATGCTTTCTTTGCCTCTGTCTTCAACACTGATGACAGATGAAGGGGGTCCCATGCCCTGAGCTGGAAGGCCATGGCTGTGAGAATGATAAACTCCCAGTTAACCCTGAATTTGTGAGGATCTGCTGCTCCAACTAGATCCCTAGAAATCTATGGGGCTTTGTGGGATTCAGTGCTTAAAAAGTTGGCTGATATCATCAGGATGCATCCTCCACTGATTTTTAAACTATCTTGGCAATCCAGAGAGGTCCCAGTTGACTGGAAACTGGAGAACATTGTCCCAGTTTTAAAAAAGGGCAAGAAGGATTCCCCTGGAACTATGGGCCTGTCAGTCTCACTTCAGTGCCTAAGTTATGGAGAAGATTATTCTTGGTGGGTGTTGAAAAAAAACCTGAAGGGCAATGCAGCCATTGGTCACCCTAATTCATAATGTTAGATGCTAGCACACTGCAAAGGCTGTGTACATCTCTATCTTGTCAGAAAAACAGTAAATGTATCTTTATAGTATTTTTTAAAATTCCTACAACTATTTTTTGGGTTTTTTTTTTTGTTTTGTTATAGATGCTAAGCCTGAAACAGAGATGATTCAGAACAACACGGAGGTAATCTGTTTTACAAGGAACTCTATCCTCATGAATACACATTTCTTTTAAAACAAGACCCATGACAGATGCCAGGTGGAATGATTAAAGCAATGAGTGGATTTTCCAAGTCTACTCCTTAGCTCTCTTAAAGAATTGACGGACACTACAGCATTCCTTCACAGACTCTACCCTGCTTTTCCATCAATACTTTCACTGCATTTAATTACATAATCCATTGTCTGCTGTCCAAAATAAAAACTTTAGCCAAAATTCAATTCATATCGTAATATCATACCTTACATATTAAACATATAGAAAAAACTGTCTGTAGTTTTTCCTACACCCTTTATACTCAGAGAAGCAATTTACATGATGCTTTTTATTACATTATTACTATAAAGTTAGGATAAAAAATAGGTTTAACATTTAACAGTAATGATGAAGTTTGAGGTCATTCTGATCCATCATGGAAGCAGGTTCTAAAATCATGGCCCAGTTCCTGGTTTTCTATACATAAACTTCACTTTTGAGATTGACAGTTGTATTGTTATAGCCATGGGATATCACAACAACATAGCAAGCAAGTGACTTTGTAATTTAGGTCAACCTCATTGAAGGATTTAAAGATTAGTTAAGGACAGTTAGAACATTGTCTAGGGGTGCTTTTTCTTTTTTTTTCCTTTTTAATACTAGAAGATGAAACAGTGTAACATTAATCATCCAAAAAAATCACACATAGGGGTGTAATTTAAACTGACTAACAAATCCTTCAAAAGTCATGAATTCTTCTGTCACACTAGTGGTACCTAATGATTCAAATGAGTGCTGCACCAAAAAAACTAAAGACATAAATGACAACTATCATGCTAAGTCAAAAGAAGTCATCTCATAGGGCTTCATAGTATCACCAAGACATGTCAGCAGTATATGCTCTATATGCAGTATATGCCTGGTCTTACTCATTGTGATGGATTGACCCTGGCTGGGCACCAGGTGCCCACCAAGCTGCTCTATTACTTCCCCTTCTCAGCTGGAAAGGGGAGAGAAAATAAGATGGAAAACAATGCATAGGTTGAGATAAGGCAGTTTACTAAAGCAAAAGAGAAAGGTTGCCATGCAAGAAAAGGAGGAAAAAAAAATAAATTTTATTCTCTACTTCCTATCAGCAAGTGATGTCTGGGCACTTCCCAGGAAGCAGGGCTTCAGCACATGTAGTGGTTGACTGAGACAAACATTGTAAATAACAAATGCTCCCCACTTCTCTTTTCTTAATTTTTATATTTGAGCAGACATCATATGGTACGGAAAATCCCTTCAGTCAGTTGGGGTCAGCTATTTCAGCTGTGTCCCCTTACAAGATTTTGCTCATCCCCGGCCTACTGTGCAGGGAAGGGAGGTTGGGGAGTAATGTTGGAGAGACAGTGCTGGTGTTGTGTCAGTGCTGCCCAGCAGTAGCCAAAACACTGGTGTGTTATCAACACCTTTCTAGCTACCAATACCAAGCACAGCACTGTGAGGGCTGCTATGAGGAAAATTAACTCCATCTCAGCTAGACCAGATATACTAATTTCGAAATCATGTACACATGGAATTTCATAGATTGTGAACAATATTTTTAGCTGAAAATGAAATCTAATATGTCTGTGTGGTTCAGGTCACATCACCAGGAAAAGATATCTTGTCAGCTGCAGACTTTGTTTTCAAGGCAAAGACAAAACTATGTTCTAGACCCATTTATGAGGAAAAAAATCTAGTCCTAAAACAAACACATCTGCAGAAACAATTAGAGCCAATGTCTTGTAATATATGCCAGGAAAAGGAAAAAACATTCAAGCTTGTTTTAAATCAAAAGAGTACGCTTAAAATCGTCAGCTCCACCTGACACAGTTTTGTATCTAGTATTTAAGCCTTTGGTAACTTGATGATACTGTTGTATCATTCAAACAAACGTTCCCTTCAGGCTATTTTTTCCTGGAAAAAAAAAAAAAGCTTTAATGGTTTGGCTTTTATCAAGATCGAATGAAATTACAGAAAGAGACACCATATGTCCAAGAATCTTGAGTGATGGGAAAAAATGGCATTTCTTCAAGTTGAGTGATAGATTGTAGGAGGTCAAATACACGGTTAAGCATTTAGAGTTTAGTTGGCTGAAAGAGAGAATGACATTATTGGAGAAAAAAAAAATCTTTCCCATCACTTTTAATTAACTCAGAACACTTCATTGAATAGTGTGACTTAGTAGCATGACTTCAAATTGATAGGAACATAGATGTTTTAAAGTCTGGCTGAGTTTTTGTGATTCAGGTCCACTAATTTATAACAAAAATGACAGTATTTAGCTTTTATTTATGGGCATTTTAAAAATAGCAAGCCAAATTCTGGTGCTCTGTTTCCATGCCTCTGATATAAATAAGGCAGACCCAGAACAAGTCGCTGAGAAATTTCTGTTATGTGTGTCCCTGAGATACATCCTTTACATAGCACAGGATCAATACTAGTGACTTGTGGAAACAAACCCCAAAACTCACAAAGAGTATTGAAGCAGGTGTGTTTATTTACAGCACCGGGTGCATGGGGAATAATTTCGCCAAACATGCACACCTATTGCCTTTGTTCAGCTTCTTTTATGTGATAGAATGTTACATATGCATTAGTTGTGTTACATATACATTAGTAGTGTTACATATGCATTAGCTGTGTCAGCAAATTCCTGAAAATTAGGAGGGGAAATCATTAACATACACCACTCCTACAACTCTGCCTCGGAATGCCACTTGGGGGTCTTCATTTGGGCGTCTTTTGGATGAAGTAAGAGCCTTCCTCGGCTCTGAACTATTCACCTTTGCAAAGAATGATGAGCTGGTACTGGCCACTCACCTCAAAACTGGTTTCATCTCTTATCTCTTTCTCTTGGAGCCCCCCTTTATCAATCTTCAAGGTCTCTCTCAAAGCTCCTTATCACAACTCCAAGGTTTTTGCTTCTGCTAGAATCCTCATTATAAAGTTAACCATGTCCTGTATGTAAGGTAGCATAAGCTAGCAAGGCCCTATTCTAATTTAACAGTATTCTATCAAAAAACTAGCTCTAGTAAGCAGCTAAGGCTACAATCTTTTATCACCGCTTTATATTTTGATCACCCCTTATCACTAGAGGTGATCAGTGGGAGCATGTGAGACTGTCAATGTGTGAAGCCCTCTGAGACACCCTGGATTGCCAAGGGTCTAGGCATCTGAGACTCTTCCTCTACTTCACCTTATTTTAACGCAAGACAATACCATAGTTCTACACCCTGAAAGGCTCAATCATGTACTGATAATTCTCCAGAATATTCTTCCAGAAAATTGAAATTCATGAAATTTCAAAATCCAGAAGTGGTAGGTTTTTAGGCTAATCATAAAATCATAAAATGGTTTGGGTTGGAAGGACCCTAGAGATCCAGTCCCCCTGCCATGGGCAGGGACAGCTACCAGTAGACCAGGTTGCTTGGAGCCCTATCCAGCCTGTCCTTGAACTCTTCCAGGGATAAGGCATCCACAACTTCTCTGTGCAACCTGTTCCAGTGTCCCACCACCTTCCAGTAAAGAATTTCTTCCTAATAAACCAACTCCCAGTTTAAAGAAGAAAATGACCCATTCTCCTATCATTACATCACTTTATAAGAAGTCCCTCTCCAGCCTTCCTGTAGTCCCCTTTAGATAGAGGAAGGTGCTATAAGGTCTCCCTGGAGCCTTCGCTTCTCCAGGCTGAACAATGACCTTGAATGACTTCTATTTCCATGATTCTTCTGTCATTTTCTGAACCCATAGAAGGATTACAGTTGGAATTTGGAAATAAAACAGATGTCAGTTCTGTTCTGGAGATACAGCCTTAAGAAGAGTTTGCAAATGGCTCCAAGCTACTCTCTAGCATGCACCAAGAGCCACTGAATTCTCCCAAATGTGAAACCATGGCCAGAACAGGAACACATAAGAAACTCAGAATGCTTATTTTCTGACCTGGACTGCAAATCCCTGAGCAGGCTGAATAGGTTTTTGAACAATATGACCCAAAACACAGAATATGCATAAATTCAATTTGACATAATCCTTATTTTTGGTAGTGGTATCAATAGTCAAACAAAAAATATATCAAAAGACTGTAATGTTTTGCCATTTTGAGTAGAGAAACACTCAGGAGGCTGAATAATACTGACAATGAACTGGGATTCCATGTGAATAAAGAAAAATTATGTTCTTCCCACCTGTACCACATGGTGATATGGATGAAAAATTTTCTTGCGTAAGTCTCTATAGAAGAAAAACATGGCCAGAGAAGCCCACTTTCAAAAATATCTTCACATGTAACACCTTTTCTGCAATTCAATTAAAGCAAGGTCCTTGCTGTACAGGGTGGTATGTGCTCCTGATCATTTTTCAGTATATTCAGCAATAATCCACTCTTTTTACTGAAGCTTGATTTACATGGAAAGCTAATGTTTTGCTTTTACTAAAGGACTAATTCCTTAGTGACATAGTGCCTCATGTGTGCTCATCAGTGAAACAAAAGAGGAGGATTTTGCTGTTGTCTTTCCCTTCCTTTTATAAAACACGGAAAGAGTGGAATTCAGCCAACCAAATGCGATGTCTACAATGAAGGTGTCTACATCTGAATTCACTCCCTTTTGTAGTTGCTGGAGAAAAATAAACACTTTCTGTGTATCATTCATCTCATCCTAAAGTCTAAAGCAGATGAGGTGCCCCCTAAATGTGTTTTAGTTTTTTTTTTCTCTCCATTTATCAGCCTAGCCTGATAAGATATCTATGATGTAGAAATCTGTTATACAAATTGATTCCCACCTAAGACACATAAAGACGTGAATAATAGTGAAAAGTACACCCAGACCACTTGTTTTCAGACTCATTTAAATTTATAAATTTACAGTTCATTGAAGAAGCCAGAAGAAAGCACGAATTTAAGGTCTGTCCACAGGAAACTGGTATCTTCCTTTCACCGCACAGTTTCTAATTTCTGCACTGGATTTTTCAGAGTAATTGGTGATATCACAGTACCCTACTTCTTGTTTACCATTGATCACTTTGAATGTCTGATAGCTAAAACACACTGAGATATCAGTTGTCTCATCCCTCTGTTACATTATTGATCAGACCAGGTAGTAAATATTTGTCTCTCGCGCTGCCAATATTACAACAATTACACCATTGGGCACTTTACTGTAGTACTACAAACCCAAACAACTATCAGATGACAGTAGTGAACAACATTAGGATAGTTTCATCTATGGGATTCTGCATTATATTGAAATCTGTGGTAATGCTGGACAAAATTACAAGCCTGAATAAAGCAAGTGCTGCTCCATGACTAAACAAATTTCTGTTGTAAATTCCATTAATTCAGTTAAGATTAAGATTATTGTATAAAAAAATATGCAGCAATTTTCTTAGTATTTTGCAAGAGCATTCATGACTATGTTACCTATTAGTATACAACTTCCTTTAATCATTAGTTCTAACAGATTTCCTGGGCTAACTTGGGAAATCTTAATTTGTTCATTGAGCACCAACTACCATTTCCCCACAAATAGATTTTTAAGCCAAATAATATTCTAAGATGTCTTACATTTGCATATATTAAGGAGTAATGCCTGGTTACTCTTTTCAAGATCAAGGACTTGACCAGAAGATTGAAATTTATCAAAAAAAATTGGTAGTATTTTAGAAACAAGACTGAACTCGTTTATGCTAATAATATTAGTTTAGTAAGAAAGCATACTAGCAAATTCCAATACAGTAGTCAAAACTATAAGGACTAGTCTGATAAGTGGAGTATAATTAAACTAAATATTTAATTCTCTATCAGATGACTTTCTGTTTTACTAGTACAATCTTTAAATAATAATTTTTCTTTCAGCTTAACTTCCCAACTTAGACAAAGAGTACTTTATGACTTTAAAAATGTCCCCAAATGTTTACAGGTAGCATACTGAATATTTTTTAAATATGTTTTCTAACATTTTTAAAGCTTCCTCTACTGGGAAGTAAATTCTCTTTCTTTCTTTCTTTAGTGCGATTATTCCAAGGACCCCAAGCCTACTTACTACATTCAGTCACAAAAATAGTATATTCTTTTTTCATACACATGTTTTTCTCTAGTTAATATACTGACTTTTTGAGCACATATTAAATCTGAGACCTCAGATGAATAAGATTCAGTGCTAAATATAAAAATTCGCGTTCACCTCTGCATATATATTTTTATATTTGTTTCAATTATCCTTGCTAACTTTAAAATGTTTGAAGTCTGATATTTTATACCCATATGTTGGGAAATGAGTAGTTCAACTTCCCTTACTGTAATTCAACTTGTGTTTTAAAAAAGATTTTCAACTATATTGATGTAAAATATTTTTAGAGTGCTTTCATAAAATACTATTTGTTCTGTAAAATATTTTGTATGACTCTGATGTGCTTTCTTCCTCTTTTTCCTCTTCCCTTGTTGCTTTCTGCTCTCCATTGCCCTCCTTTTGTTGTTTGTTGCTTCAATTTATCTTCATCTACATCAGAACACAGCTCTGTTGAAAATTTGGCCTGTTATTGGTACTGGTGTCTTTTGAAAGTATGCCCTAAGGCACAACTGGGCTATTGCTAATTAGTCCTGCATATAATTACATATATAATTAAATTAAAAAAATAAAAGAGTCTATTTAATAAATATTTTAACTACAAAATTTGTAGTCAAAACAAAGCTTGACTTAACAGAATTAACTACAAATATCTAAATAATTGGTGTTTAACTTCTCTACCACAGTGTCAGGGAAATATTGGTCAAAGCTCATGGTTGTCATGAAGGTTTAGTAACTTCTTTAAGCCTCAGATGTGAAGCATCCAGAACCTATTCTGTAGAATGCTTCAGCTGTTCAGGTAATACCAGACAATCATAAAGTCTAATAAACCTCACATGGAACAGATTGTTATGCCCTAGTCCACTTGGCGAGTTTAGGGGAAGGTTGTTTGATTCACTCTGGGTGGTATGTGGGAGAAACAACAAAATTCTTGGGAGGTTCAACGACAAACTTCTACTTGCAAACTTTAGAACACTTAGGTAGAATAAAGTACTTGGAAAATTTTAAAACAACATTCAGGCTAAATAAGGCACTTTATAAACTTTAACTTAGCAAGCTTTAACCCATCCAGACAAAGTAAGGCACTTCACAAACTTTAACTTAGCAAACGTGAACTTAAACAATTTTAACTTATCCAGACACAACAAGGGACTTGCTAAGGCATTGACTGAAATTTTTTTAGTCTGGTTTAGAATATATTTTGAGAGGAAGAATTTATAAGAAAGAGAGTGAGAGAAAAAGGATAAGAGTAGAAAGATATTACCTTCTGTGTATCCAGCAATGAGAGTTGATTGTTGCAATTTAGATGTCCGTTAGAGTCTTGATCTGTTGGGGGTGAGGGAAGCCCATGAAGCACAAAGTTCAATGGGTTAATATACACTCGGGCTTGGTGGGAATGCCCAGGTACCTCCGCTTGGGGCGGACTTTAACACTTTCTGTTGTAACACTGTGGATCGTGCACAGTCCTCTGGTGGGAAGCAGGCCTATGTGTGAATGTCCCGATATTTTTACTGGAGGTGGGGGGAGTTTTACAATTGAGCCAGTTATACCCCATGAATAATGTGAATGTCTTGATACTGTACCCGTGGGGGAGTTTTACACCCAGTAAGGGAGGACACTGGTGTGATAAAAAGCACTATCCCACCTCACAGGATCTGCTTCTTATTGGCCCCTTCCCTTATCTGGCTCAAAACACAGCTTCTTGCTAAAGGAAGGTTGATTTGTTGTGGTCATCCTCTGTATTCTGCCCTCTGCAGCTGGGCTGTTGCCTTGCACATCATCAGCAAAGCACTCACTGCTTTTGCAACTGGCTGACTATTTAAAGCATTAATCACTAACATTTCAGGCACAGATTATATTTAAATAAGGAAAGTCTGTCTAAATCAGTATCTTCACTTATCAGGAAACAAGGGGACATTTTAATTCCCTGGAAAGTTTCCTTTAAAAAAATCACATGCCATCAAAACCAGATTTAGTGCTAAATATTGTGAGACTGTCTGACATCCTTGGAATAATAAATTAGTTGCATATTCTGACTCCACCCCTCACTTCCTCTGCCCCATAGACACTTCCTTTTGACTGACTGTCATTTCAGACACTAACAAAAGGTATTAACTCAGCAGTCTGCTCATCACAGACTGTTTGCAGAGTAAATTATACCCTTATTTTATGCAGAACTAAATAAAGAAAAAGATTTGGCATAGCAGGTTTTTGGGTTTAAAGAAGATTATGTTCCACATTCTCAATTCTAAGGAAAAATACCACCATAGGTATCACAATATTGCAGCTTTTTCTGTATCTTTTAGAGATTCTCCTTTTTAAAACATCAGCCATGGCTCTCAGACACTTTTTTATTTCACTAGAATCATTAGCTCTATACATCAGTAGTGTTTTTATCTTCTATTAGTGTACTATTTCTATAATACACATAAAATTCCAAGTAGAAATATAAAACACCTATTGGCAGTTTAACAATACTGAGGGTGCACATTTATGAATAGACATTTTTACTAACAATCTAGGATTCAATTGTAGCTTGCTCACAAACCCTCAAGATGAAAAAGCACAGAATTGCAGCTGTTGCCAGAGCAGAATAGGAATGAAATCACCAGTAGTTTGGATTCCTGATCCAGATGTTAGCTTCTCTTTTGTCTTAGAAGAGACAAAGTATGGAACTAAACACTTTTCTAGTAACATTCTTCCTTCAGTCTTGCTTGTTGACACACTGAAAGCCCAGATTCACAGAATCACAGAATGGGTCAGGTTAGAAGGGACCACAGTGGATCATCTGGTTCAACCTCCCTGCTCAAAGCAGAGTCATCCCAGAGCACATTGCACAGGAATGTGTCCAGTCTGTTCTTGAATACTTCCACTGAGGCAGACTCCACAACCTCTCTGGGCAATCTGTTCCAGTGCACAGTAAAGAAGTTCTTCCTCATATTCAGGTGGAATTTCCCATGCATCAGTTTCTGCCTGTTGCCTCTTGTCCCATCACTTGGCACCACCAAGGGAGCCTGGCTCCATCCTCCTGACACCCTCCCTTCAGATACTTATAGACACTGATGAGGTCCCCTCTCAGTCATCTCAAGGCTGAACAGGTGTCAGCCTTTCCTTGTAAGATAAATGCTCCAGTCCCTTAATCACTTTTGTTGACTTAAAAACTTAAACCAGAGCCATGAGTCATGATGAATCCTTGGAAGAGATTCATAGGAAGAAGAAGAGTGATTTCCAAGATTGGTTTCCTGTATCTTGTGATGCAATAGGTGGCAGTTCCTTCTTCACTTTGTAAATTGGGAGCTCTGAAGGAAAAAAGTATTGTTAATACAGCCAAATGCCAATGCAGCCTGTCTTCAGAAAAAAAATGTATTCTGCACCAATGAGTCTATATAGATTTTAAATGTTTTCATGGACAAATAACTCTACACAACTGCCCACTGTACTTTTTTAACAAAATCAAGCTAATGTAAAAAAATAAGCAAGTGAAAGGAAGTGACTTGACTTAGACACAAATTTGAGAGAATACTGTGTACTGTTCTGGTATTCTTCAAAGGGTATTTTGCACAAGTTGCAGCATGGCAGATTTTTTACTGTACTAAGTTTAGCTATTCAGTATTATGTGGTAAGAAGTTATTGTCTGTTTGTTTTTGAAATTAGAAAGTGGACAGGACAATTGTTTTATATAATCAAACCCTCTGTTGTTAGGGTGTCTCTTGTACAGAAATCTGGATAGTAAACTCTTCTCATTATTAAATGTTAATACTGCACCCAGTATAGTGCTGACTGTGCCATCAAAACCTGATAAAAAGGGAAGGGGCAAAGAAGAAATTATGGCTAGTAGTAAAAGTCAAAAAAGATAGTTTTGCATGGTTTACACTTAGGTGGAGTGGCTGGATTTTGCTTCTGTTTGCTGAAGCATATTAGTACATAAATTGCCTGACTTCTACATAACATCAGAGTTTAAAATCATTTAATATTTTAAAGATTTGTGACTTCTGGGCAGTCTTTTCCTGCAAATACATTAATGTGTCTGACCTGCTTCTGCACATTAATGCACTGTTAATTAAGACAGTATTGCACTTTATGCAGAGATCCTTTTCAATTCCATTCATTTGAATAAAATTACATTTTTAATAGCATTAACTTGAAGGTCAATACTTTTTCTTTGGCATAAACTTTCAAATCCTTGATAATGGGGTGTCAGTTTGCAGAGCAGGGAGGGGCAGCAAAAAAAGCTATTTGCAAATAGTACCATTTCCATTCCGAAATATGTTGGCTTTATCAGCTGAATAATATAGCTCATTTTTTATCCTTTACAATACTGTTCTGTAGAACCTGCTGAAATCTATTACTGCCATGTGCCTGTGGGTGACTCAGGGCCAGGTTTTGTGTGAAAAGAGGTGTCAAATATCACACCTGCTTCTGAGAACTTAAATATTATCACAGTCTAAAGAGCACATCCCAGAAGATAATCCTGCTTGCTCCCATAACCTATTGGCATTCCTTTCTGTGGTCTTCCTTTACCACCTCATAAAGCCTCTGAGTTTTCCACAGGAGAGAAGGGTTTATTTTTCTTTAATTTTAAGATGTCTCATGAACAACTAGTCTTCTAGTTGTGAATTTGTAGTCCAGAGTAATTTAAGCTTATTTATTCAGATAAAAATGCCAGTCAGAGTAATTTGAAAGGTAGTGCGTTTGAGCAGCTCTTTTGTTTTTATACTCCAAGAACAGTGTACTGTCATCTCTGTTCCAAAACACTTTCATTTTGAGCCATTCAAGCCATTACCACAACATCTTAAAGGTTCATTTTCCTTAAACAGAAAAATACAGTGGTCACTGCACAAACAATGCCTCTTTTGATTATCGCTATAGAAACAAAACCATTCCAAACCTTTATGTGTGCACATCTGTAGACACAGGTATGTGCGTATGCTTTCAAAGGGAAAGGACTCTCATATGTAGAACTGACAATTCTTAGATTTTTGTGAAAAAGCCTCAAGGAAATGATGAACAAGATCCTGCTGAGGAGAGAAATCAAGAAATAACCATGTGTATATTTCAGAAATAAAGTACAATTTCACAGAGTTGTGCAAACCTTTTATGGTGAATGCTATTTTTGATAGCATAATCTAATACCCAGGCCAGTAAACAACATGGGTCTGACAGTGCAAATGATTTTTATTGTTGTTATTGGGTGGGTTTTGTTTGGTTTTGTTTGGGTTTTTAAGTGCTGGGTTGGAGAGAGGAAGGAGAGAGTCACTAAAAAGGAAGAGAAATGTAATTTTAACAAAGACATTGATGCTAATCTCTCTTACGTGTATATGGAATTCTTAGCACAAGCACCAGCTCACTACTTTGAGGGAGCTCACTATTTTGCCTGAATATAACCCTGACCCTGTTTTAACCAGCTTCAGAGAAGCAGGGTTAAACACAGGAAGTAATATTTTCCCAACACATATTTTTATATTTAGACAGCTTTTCTACATTGCCATGGCAAGACAGGGCTTGTTTACAGGGGGAGTTTGTCTAAGCATGGGACAAACTGTCAGAATAAAATAGTCTATGAAATGAGGCCTGACAAAAGGTTTTATGATCACCTGGAGTGCATCAGTGATTCTCAAGATATTATCTGAAAAAGGAACTTCTGAAGATGGACAGAAAGAAACTGAAGTTTAAACAGCTAGGATAATTCAAGATGCAGTTCCAGCCCTTTCTGGAAACACTACATTCAGGTGCAGAAATGAATGATGTAGGATCATGGGGAAGGCAAAGGAAAGCCAAACCTCCCCACAGATTTGATAAAAGGGAGGTGACTGAGTGTTTAAAATAAAAATTCTGTTCTGCAGTCAGAGCCTAAAGGTGAGGCAGGACTCAGGGATAATCCTGTAGGTCAAGGTCCTGCCAATAGGATAAAGTGTGAAAAGGAAATTGCAATGGCAACTTTCAACATCAACAGAAATAGAGAGTAAGTTTTTAGTTGACTTTATGTTTAGAAATGTTTGAAATGGTACAGGGTTGGTACATGACAGCTGGTGGACAGAAACGTTTTGGGTATATATGCATGGTAGATAAGAGGAGCTATAGCGAATAGAAGAATGGAAACAGGATGGAAATAAAGGGATGAATTCAGCAGAACAGTGCCTGAGAGAGTTATTACATATGCCTGAAGGAAATGCTTTGTCTTAGGGATATTGACCACAGTGCCTCATTATTGCTGTGTTATGACCTAACTTCAAACAGCTAAGTTCAAAAGTCTTGGTCTCCATATTTACAACCATAAGTCAGTAGTGAAGTCCAGAAAGCTTTAAAAATGATTCCACTAAGGTCAGGATGAATCCCAATAAACATATCTTGTTATTACTTC